AGCGGTCGCTGCTCGGCTGCGGGGAGGAGGATGGTTTCTCCTTCGGGCGGCAGGAAGGAGTCAGAGGAGCTGGAGATCTGGATCTGGAGATCCATGCACGTCAGCCGCGCGTCCCCGGGCATGCGTGGCCCTGACAAGGTGTGCAAAGTAGGGTGTCGCACCCGAGCCACGACCCTGGGCTCTGCTCTTCTGTGACCTGCACCGTTCCCACAGCCGTGTCCCAGATGTATCCTCGCCCCTTCTCATTCCCGTGGTCTCCAGCTGCAATCCAGCAGGCACTGTTGGACCCTTCTGTCTGGGCTTGCAGGGGGATTTTGTTTCCATGTCAGCTCCAGACCCTGCAGGGGAGATGAGAGCAGGTCCCATGGAAGCACAGCAGCTCTGAACCACATCCCCACCACCCTGGTGGGGTTCACCCCTCCTCTGCAGCAGCCCTGCTGGAGGGGAGGCTGACTTGCTGCCGATGGTAACTGTCCTTTCTTTCCCAGCTCCTCTCCCAGCCCCTGTAAATCTGGCTGGTTAAAGCAAGCCTGGCCTGCCCTCCCCACAGCAAACTTGTGGTGCTTTAGGTTCTCTAGTAAAACGTCCTTAAATTGTTCCCTTTGTTATGCACATTATCTGCTGAGAGTTTGCTGCCAGCTCATACCTGCTTTGAACTTGGTGAAATTGTCCTTTTTGAAGAGTTCAGTAGGTACATTACTGATCTGCACCATGTTTCTGCTGCAACACAATGAACACCGTAGGAGTAAGACTTGGAAATGATCAAGCCTGACATTACCATAAGGCAACGGGCAGACAAGCAAGGCGAGGAGGAGAGGCTGCTACGGAAGACGTGGTGGGAGGAGGCACGAGAGACGTCTGTGCAGGAGGTGCCTCCGGGATTCACGGGGCTGCGGCTCAGGCACTGCGAGGGAAGGGAAGGCAGATATGATGAATTTTGCCGAAGAGCGGAGTTCACCCTCGTGGCAGTGACAGATCACCTCCCTGCTATCGCTGCACTGCTCTATGTGACCAAGAAAATGAAACAGTTTCTGCTGGGGAGGATTTGATTGTTTATTTGCTTGTTTGAAGATTCAGTTTTGATTCTAACAGCATGGAGCAGACTGGGCTGTTGTGGGCATGGGAGAAAAGCATAAATAAATGAAAATGAGAGGCAAGACTGCTCCTTTATGGACCCATTTTATCAAAATCCCTTGTCTCTTTGGCCTCTGATTGAAATGCTTTGACAGAAACCTGTGGGTCCCACTTTTCCCATGTTTGATATTCGACCTTCAGACTCTTCCCCCATCACTTGCACCTTCTGCTCTTGCGTGGCGGGGGTCCTACGCCCAGCAGCAGAAGCGCGCTGCTATGTCTGTAATGAGATGTCCCCACGCTTTTCCTTTGAATGGCAAACAAGTACCCCGGCACTTTTCAAACTACAGCAGAATTGGGGTTGTACAGCAGCCTTCTCAGCTCCTCTCAACCCACCCCGGCTGCGCACCTCCGCGTTGGGGCTGCACAAGAAGCCAGCCTGTGGCTGTGGGTATCAGACCTGCGTGTTGCTTCCCAGCCCATCACTCACCAGAATAGCAAAAAAAAAAAAATTACTCTGGTAGCGCTCTTGAAAATGTTTAAGCGTGATAATCACCACCTCCCTGCAGGGTTTCTGATTCAGCCTGCGACATTTAGTTTTATTCAGCGTATTCTGGCTGAAGAAAGCATGTGATGATTGCAGTGAGAGCTTCCTCATGCTCACTTAGACACCTTCCCTGATTTAGTAGACTGAGCTCTAGCAGAGGAACATGCTTTGCTCTAGGATACTTTTTTCTGGCCCGGCGTTACCTTCGCTCTCTGCAGGTGAGCAGGTACATGCTGAGGCGGCCTCCTAGGAGAGAAGCTTCTCTAATAAGCCTGGTTTCTTGGTTGGTTTCTCAATGACATTTTAAGGCAGAGGCAGGCAGGGATCTGTGGGTGAAGGAACATTTTGCATCAGCCTACACAGCAGTTACAGCACCCTCGGTAAGTAGTGTGTGGGCAGGTCGTACAGGGCTCTTCACAACAGAAATGCAGATACATGTGCCAGAGAGAACACCCTCTGAGGAACAGAGGGCAGAGTCCTTATTACGGAATTATGACTCAATTATTCCCTGAAAGCATATTAAAATGACTCTGTTTTTTTATTGCAAAGGGATGAATAAATGTTAGTGCAAATAGGTTTCCATTTGCATTTACAGAGGGTGTGCAAGATCAGCCAGTTCTCGCCCTGCAGGTAGCTCAGCGTAACCCCTCGGGCCCTCAGCAACAGCAAAGAGCAGCGGAGGGAAGTACAACGTGACAAAAAAGGTGTCCTGCGAGTGACCCAGCACGTCCGTCCTTACCACAGCCTGTCCATCAGAGCTCCCTGCAGTTTGGCTGTGTGCGTACCTGGTGATTGCGTTGGGAGCCCTGCGCCTCGGATTGCAATCCCCAAAGCAAAAAAAAGAAAAAGTTAAGTTATAAAAATGGTATGAGAGTTTTTTAGAAAACCTTACAAGATGTCTGTTAGAAGGAGCGTGGTGAATGCACACCCACTGTATAAAGGCACTACCAGCAAGCAAAAATATGATTATAATGCATTTCCACAACCAACAGGGTAATACAGCGTGAATTACGTTGCTACCACCCTCACTGCCACTTACAACCGCTCCGTAGCCCAGCGCTGGGTTTCTCGGTGTCAGCAGAAGAGGGAGGGATTTGTACTGCCATGGTCAGCCAGAAAGGAGAACAAGTCAGAGAGGGGCTTTGTTGACTGGGTTTGCAATTACAGATGCTGGATGCTAAATCTGGGCTTTTTGTGGCCATGAGAAGAAACTGCAAATAATGAAGTCCAGAGTGAGATCCAAACTCTTCCAATCTCAGGGAGTTTGGGTCTCAAACTTTGTTTTGGGCTCCATGCAAGTTCCTGCCATCCTAATCCCAGGAGAGCAAATACCCATCAGGACCAGCCAGCAGCGGAGCTACTCACAGAAAGACTTTCTGGGGAGAGAAGTGGAGGAGAGGTGTTAAATGCAAAATTGTGAGGTGCTGTTCATACTCTTGTGAGCCTGATTCAGAGCCTACCGGTGTCAATGAGAAGATATTTGGCTAGATAAGGACGGCTCCTTCCAGAACAGTTTTTGTTCTGTTGCCATACTACCACCGTGCTTCTCATTTTGCTGGAAAATAGAAAAGTCGCAAGGAGAAATGTTCCCCTGTGCTCAAAGATGACTCCTTTGGAAGTGCTGTCTCCCTTGCTAGCCTCACCAGGGTCAGTAGTCTTGTTCTCTGCCTCGTTAGATGCTCTTGCTGCTATTTCTGTGCCGCTCTGCTTGATTCTTTGATGCTGAGCACTCCATTTGAGATGTCTTGTTTAAAGAAAAAAATACCAACTTGATTTAAAACTCTTTTTCCAATTAGCAAGCAGTGGGCTTTCTGCCAACAGCCAGCCAGCCTGTCTCCTGAATGCCGAAATGCGTCCCGCTTTCAAGGTGCTACGACGCTATTTGCGGCACCGCCTGGCACAGCGTGGTTTGATCTCAATGGCCAGGACATGACTAGGAAGAAGTTGGCATCAATGCCCTTGCAGGGTGGGCTGAAGTAAATGAACAAGGGATGCAAAGAAAAGGAGGAGGTGGTGCCCCACGAAGAACACCTGGATGCCTGGGGATATGCAGAAAAGCGGGCTCTCTCCCCCTCCCCCCATGGCCCTTCTGACCTCAATATCCAGGAAGATAATCTAATCTAATCTGATCTAATAATCCAACATAATCTTCTGGAGTGTCACGAATTGCATTTTGCCGGCATTATCTGATAGAAGTGAAGTGCTGGGCCTCTTACAGATTATGTCGTCTGTCTGAAAGAATTATTTTTGGTTTCAAAAGCAACATTACTTCCTCACCAGCTATCCAGGAAAACACCTCCCGCCCCAGAGACTGCAGCGAAAATGCGGGTTGGATCTTTGCAGCTTGCGCAAGGCTGGGACTGGGCTGCTCTGCTGGTGAATGGGAATAGGTCCACAGGCAGCACTGGGCACAATAAACACTTTGCTGCCTGGTTCCAGCTTCTCACGCTACCTAGGCTTCACTTCCCACGGTGACAGGGAACACCTCTGCTGTGCTGGCATCTCCCCTGCCTCATGAATTTTTAAAGAGAGAAATTGGGACCGAACTGGAATGTTTTTATTGACTATGAGTTAAATTCAACCTATTTTCTGCCTTGCCTGAACGAGCCCTGTGCACGTAACAACTGCTGGAGCTTCTAGGTCAGTACGGGAATACCTGCACAGACTTTCCTCTTGCAAAAGCGACAATATACAAGAAAAAAGTTTTAATATCATTTTCTCCTGTCTGTCTTTGGACACCCTTAGGCAGACTCCTGTGCTGGCCTCGGGGCAACAGGTTTCTTGTCACTAAAATACAGGAAATTGGTTTCAATCAGCACAACATTCGCTGTCTCCTGGAACCAGGAGCAATTTACAGCTTGGTGCCAAGTGATGTAAGACCAGCAGGACAGTAGGGATTTATATCCGTATCATTCTGGAGTAAATACATACTTGGAGGGCAGGAGATGGCTGTTTTTTGAGCGTGCAAGATAGTACTCGGCCCAGCTGCCCCTTTATACACGCATGTTTTGCCCTATTCTCTCTGGTTTGTGTATTTTTTGCAGTGAAATACTATCATCAGAGGAAGTAGCAACACTGAAATTTCTGGCTGCCCAACATTTCCCATTGCAGGCCCCTGCTTTCAGTCTCTTCTCTTTTTCCTGAGCTGAAATCTTGCCTGTTTACGTATTCCAGGACACCTAGCTGCTTCGGAACAAATATTCTGGAAGGTTTCTGCTAAAATCAGTTCAGCAGTCTGAGACTGAAGCTAGGGAAAACAAGAGGCTTGCTAATTCTCACCTGCGTTTCTCTGAGGTTTTCTCATTCTTCCCTGATTCTGATCAGAAACTGGAAATTTGGTAGTTTGGCCACCCTTGCCTCAGGAATACGCCTTTTGCTAGTCCTGCCAAAGCCTGCCAAACTGCCGTTGCATGATGCTCTTCTGAAAACAGGTATGATGGTGGAAGAAGCAGGATCTAATCCAGCAGCTGTTACAGCACGGCCCTGTGATCTGAACAGGAGTCTGAAGAGAAACTGGCTTCTACGC